CAGGTCCCTAGGTAGGTAATTCACTGCAATTGGCCAAACGAACAAATCGTTGATGGCCACTGCGCATAGTGCATACCTATTCGGAGACCGACAGAACCAATCAAAAAACGTCACCCATCTAGAGCAGGAACAAGGGGAGGCGTCTCAACGATCGAAACTACCTGAAGTCGTTCGGTTTTCATACACTTCGAGTCTTTTACGTGTGCACTTGAGTGCTTAAGTGTTTTGCTGGAGGAAGCGGGAAGCGGTGAGGTTGGCGCTTCAGCGTGACTGACATGGGAAATCGTCTGATGTAGCCCAAGAAAAGGAAAGGTCCACGAAAGATAGTCATTGGCTGTGCCGCATACGCCACTTCCAATCCGTCGTTGGACCAGTAATGGCCATTCGTCTGTTGCTTCTCGTCACTTGAAAGTTGCAACCAACGGACTCCACTTGTGAGCGACGGATGAAGAGTATGGACTCAACGTGATTCGGTTCCTCGGAGCCGATGGAGGCATGAAAGAGAGTCGGTGACACAGACGATGACAGCTGCCGTGAGTTCAATTAGATCGATTGGAAGGAGAACAGTAAATAACACTGTTCCCGTTTGAATGTTGTTTCTTTTTCCTAAAGTTTTATCCTGTCGCCAACACCGAAGACACCGGAGCAATGACAAATCATTTGCTTTTTGCCCACGTGGTTACCAACCAGTTCTCTCGTCCAGCTTTTGGGCTTCCCTATTGCCAGGTTAGCCTCGTTTGCTAACATGACTTTTCCACATCAAGCACCTTACATATTCTCAAGTGCACTTCATCATGACACTCTGCACGTTGCTGGCGGCGCCTCCTGATGTTGTCTCGGTGGAGCAGACACCCTCCTTGAAGGAACCGAAACCTTCTCCTTTTCCACAATCGGTTCCCGAGAAGGCAAACCAACCGCAGTTTCCAGGGAGGGCCTGTGCGAAGAAGGATCCCGGCTGTGAAAGAACGCGACAGTCGAAGGCGCTGATGGTAACGTCGGTCTTTGCCACGCCGGTGCAATCGGTAGATGCAAACGCTTGGAATCTCTCCGCGGCGACAGTTGAGAAAGTTGCCGACAATAAAGCGACGAAGTAAGAGGGCTGCATGGTGAGGTTGTGATTGGAATTGAAGGGGGAGTGGGGTTTCGAGTGTGTAGTACTTGTCGTTCAGTGGTGAGTCGTCTATCTTTTTTCTTACTTCGTAAGCGTTTGGTTTGCAAGGGTAATGTTCTTGGCATCTCTGGGAGATTGATTGTATTTATACTTTGGATATTAGGTAGAGGTAGTGACAGTTGAACAACACAAAATAGAGTTTGAAGAATAGACGAGCGCACCGACGGATTGGACTGGAGTGGGCATGATATGGCTAATTAGCGGAAATTGAGGTCTCGGGCTTGCCGATCGCGGGTGCTGTTTTTGTTCAATTACCTCCCCCTTTTGCAGTTTCGAATTGAATCGGTACACTTAGCACTGCGGCATTTCACCAACTGGACGTCTTATTCTTTTTATCTCCATATCTTAATATCTGACAGTCCAAACGCGTTGTGAGCGCTAGCGCTACTCACACACGTTCTAACGACCGCAACTTGAGAAGTAGATTACTCAGTTGATTCGTAAACTTGCTGGGCAACGCTTTAGCATTTGTGCAACGGCTCAGGGCCGGGAAACATCTCATCTGAAAGGAAGGACACGTTACAGTCACCGTACAGATAAGCATTAGGATAAGGAAGACGACGACAATGACAACGAAGATTACAATTTACAGCGCCAATCATAAGTACAGAACTTAACAATCAGTCATACAGGCCTCATGCCATCCGATCAGCTAGAAGTGCCCGCATTCACAGCAAAGCTCAAGATTGGACGGATTGGTATCACCCCAAAGTCAATGTGGCAACCCGGCGACGGAACTGTTTCAAACGCCGGGAACAAACTTCTAGTCGACATTGTTGGGCAAGATAGCGTAAGCTTAAGTAAGGAAACCTTGATAACAAGAAGTTTACGCAATCGATGTGTTCTTATGCTCTCGAGTGTTGTCTTCCTTCCCAATCCTTTGGTCATACAAGGTGAAGTGAATCGTACCCAGCCTCAATCCCAATTCTTCAGACTAAAAGTGTTCCAAAATGAATTCATTGAATCAATCCTATCCCCAGCGCCCGCTCAAAGTTGCTATCATTGGTGGCGGGCCAGGCGGCCTAAGTGCAGCGATTGAATTTCAGAAGCTGAGCTTCGTGCGTTGGACGCTTTACGAGAAGAAGCCTGCCGTCAGCGAAACGGGGGCCGGCGTGAGCCTTCAGCGGAATACCTGGAGACTCTTGGAGTTTAATGGAGTTGCTAAACACTTCTCCGAAGAGGACTTCTTCAGATGTCAGGATGGCTCCAACAAGCACATTCGGTTCGTTTGAAGACCTTCACAACCTATGCAAGTGACTGTGTGGCTAACAACGCTGGTCAACTCCAGCAATGGACGCAATGGAGAATTAATGGACATAATTAGCCACGCTGAAAACACGATTCCGCAGCACCGGACCTGTCGTATGATGCGCAGTAAACTGCAAGCGGCGCTGCTAAAGGAGGTTGACAAATCGAAGATAGTGACATCTAAGTGTTTGGTGTCCGTTGATTTTGTGGCCGGCGGTAGATGCAGGTTGACTTTCAAAGATGGCTTCGTTGACGAAGTTGACCTTCTCATCGGGGCAGATGGGATCAGATCAGTATGCCAACAAGGCCCCTTGTTAAAACGGCATTAACCGGATCTAGGTAGTGAGATCTTTTGTGTCGCCCTCGCACCACCTCGGATACAATGGGCACTTCACCTATCGTATGACCATTTCCCAAAAAGACGCAAAGGAGATCCATGATCTTCCATGGGCCCCTACCTTCTGGCTCGGTAATGTGGGCCATTATGTGTTTACCTGTCCTCTTGGGGGCGACGACTTCGAGGTCACACTTCGCATCCCAAGGCCTCCTGAAAAGGAGGAATTCGTTAGCTGGGGACGTCCATGCGACCTAGCCCCGATCGCGGAAGATTTCAACATGTTTTGCGATCCAGTCAGGCATGCTATCCGTCTCAGCACCCACGCCGAGTGCCAAGAATTTGCTCTGTTCACAGGGAGCAGGCTTAAGCGGATCGTTGCTCACGATGCGGTCGCCTTGATCGGTGACGCGTCCCATCCATTGTCTGGAGCCTTAGGTGCAGGGGCAGGCTTTGCATTGGAGGATGTGTACGCTCTTTCAAGGTGCTTAAGCTGGGCATGGTCGCATAGATGGTCTCTCGGCGTTGCGTTGGAACACTATGATCGCATCAGATCACCCCATTACCTTGATATTTATCGAGTGCTGGGCAGAGTCAATGAGACTGAAGCTGCTGTAGCAGCGGAGAATCTCGATATAGACACGGAAGTCAAAGAACGAGTAAGAAGAACTGACGAAGCTAGAGATAACTGGGTATACTACTATGAAGTAGACAAAGTAGTCGCGCGCACTTTGAAGACTCCTGAGTTCACAGCTGACGCAAGGCTTTAGGGGCTCATACGAAGTTGTAGTTTTAGACTTGCTTGGCAAGCTTCAGTACTTAGAACGACGTATAAAAAGTAGAAAAAGCTCGTTGAGGATTGAGTGTAAAATTTGAATTCACACGTCGATTTTCCTAGTGGGATTGGGGGTCTCACTCGTTTCAAGCTCACATTAGGATCAATCTTTTCTGTACTTCGTTATATACTGGGGTCCCGTCTTGTGCTAATGCTGGAGCAAATTCGGAGAGGACCATCAAACCAAAACGTCACTGTGCTTGGCCCGGCGCTGAACATTCGGCTCTTAGCTTGTGTGATTGCAAACAGGGTACCGAGATTCATAAAGTCGTGCGACATTAGCAGCAACTATAGACCCGAGGCGACGGGAGATACGGACCTTGCTACCCGCTGCTGACATGATTATCTGCAGTAGTTATGTTTAATAAAAATGTAACAGTAGTCATACCCTATTGCTAAGCAGCGGTTCCGCGGAACCTAAACAGTAGAAGCACGGGAAGTGGTTCGCGCTTGTTATGCTCCCCGCCCGACAAAGTGTCTGAGTCTCTCCGTAGCTATGCTGAAATGAATTTTACCGGCCTGCATAATTCTGGACATACTGGGATGGAATCGAGAACAATTCGTAAGGTGAAGAAAACTGCTTCAATCATTTTCCTTCGGGATCATTGTTAACCGTATTGTCGTCAAAGGCTTACGACCTGTGCTACCGGAATCAGATCAATTGCCATGCCCAGAAACCGCGTTGCTCACACTGTCGACTGTATTCGAGCGATTGTACGCATGAGGTAGTCAGCCGACACAAGGAGAAAAAGATGAAGACGTTATCACCCGCCCATAACCATGGACAACATCGACAACGAGCTCAGAAATAGCAAGTAGCACAGGCAAACGACGAGCTAGGCAGTCATCATCACAATCTTCAGCAACAAGATGAGCGGATCCCGTTGAACGCGTCACAGTCCTACCGCATTTTTTCATGCTCCCCCGCCTCTCAGTTCACGATGAAAACCAGATCCTCTATCATGCTCAGTTCTTGCCCGTCGCTGGAGTCTGGTGCTAAATACGGTCGACAACGCATGGAACTGCCACCAGAAGACACTGTGCGCCACGTCATGGATGTCTATCTGGCGAATTTCAATAGTGTTTTGACCCGGTCCTTTCCGCCGTCTCTTGACTAAATCGGGGAAAACCGGTCCTGCAAGCCGACTGACGAACATGGATTGATGTCCTGGGCCACCATTAATGCCGTCCTGGCTCTAGCTTAATATCATGGCTACGGCCACTTGAGCCCTACCGCTGTCCAAGCCGTCAACGTCACCGAGTGCCTTAATAACGCCCGGGCGTTCTTTGCCGGCATTGTATCGGGGGGTACGAATGTGCAGAGCGTTCGAATTCTGCTTGGCACAGGCATCCTGTTCATGGGAGCTATGCTCGGTGACATTCCAGCACCCGTAGTCTTTATGTCCACGGCCATGAGCCTCGTGCAGGCTATGGGCATGCACTGCAGGGCAGTTACAACAATACGGAACCAGTCGAAGACACACAACGAAGATATGTATTCTGGATCGCCTGCATACTGAACAGAGACGTGGCCGCGCGGACGACACAGGCGTCAATACAGCACGACGCGGACATGGATCATGATTTGCCCCCGACCGAGGATGAGGTGGCGATGGCAGTAGCCCCGGATGTTGGTGATGCTAGCGCCGATGATGACTTGGATGACTTTAATTACGCCGCCTGCGCAAGAGGTATGACCAAGTTGAACCTATTCCACGCCCGTGTCGAGCTCGCTCAGATTCAAGGGCGTTACAACTGCGCATTTTCCCTCCGGGCTCGCTACATGAATCCTGGTGAGAAGGCTCAGTTTGCTCAGGGCATTAGGCTCTCCATCCAGTAGTGGAAGACTCGGCTGCCGTCCGCCCTTTTACTACTATCAAGTCAAAACAGCAACGGCGGAAACACTGACGCTTCGATCCTGTTGGTCATCATGTACTATATGGACGTCTTGACGACGATGTGCGTCGGGAGGCTGTGTGCCGTCAGCTCAATGGATTTACATTGGATTCAAGAGATTCTTTTCTATGCTCGGGGCCTCAGTGATTGCAAGAAGACGACTTCCTTTGCCTCTCGCTCATCGGCCATACCACCGACACCGCCGTCAACTCATGATTGGACTGTGTGTCCTTTTTCTCTGCAGTACCTCAAGCTTGAAATCTTACCGTTGATGTCTCAATTCTTTGCCGAGCACAGCCGAGCCTAGCTGAGCGCATTCCATATGGCGGGGTCGGCCCGTTGCAGATATCCCACATATCCAGAACTGTTCAAAGACTTCCAGGTTCTATATAGTTCGACTTGTCCAACGCTCAAGTTTAGAGTTTCAAAGCTGTTCGTGCAGTAGTCAATTTCGTAAACATTCTTCTAGATACATTAGCTTACCTTCACGGTGAATTACTCCCTGAGTCTAACACCGATCACCTCAGCCTCTGAAGACTTGATTTATATAGCACCTACAATAGTACGGCTCAGACCCACGATGTCTGATCTACAGCATCAACTCTAACTTCCGTGAGCATATCCTACTGTTGGAAAGCTGACCGCAATATCATGGCTGCGTAAGAATCATGCCTCTATCAAAGTTCCCCCTACCTCTATTAATCCCCTTGGTACAGCCTTTAGAATGACATACTTATCTAAACTATTGAATTCAAGAGTTGTAGTGTTATTCATATTTAACATCATCTAAAACCAAATCGCACAATAAAACAGCGCAAGTAGGTACCATTACGTCAGGCAGCCATCTTTCAGGTTACATCTTGATCGATCCAATTCAAATGCGCTTTAAGTATCCTCCATAATACATAAAATGAAAATTCAGAGCCTTCAAAGAACATCTTTAATAAGAGCAAACCCATAGAGGACTAGTCGACGTCCAATTCATAGCTTGAAGTTATGATTGCGAAGAGTTTCGGTGAAGATGTCCCTGTCTGTGGAAAGGGTGTCGGTGTCAGTCTCGAAATGTAATGCGCAACTCCAAAAATACTCTTACCAGTTTCGTCATCGAGCTGAATCCGGATAGAGCTGAGCCTCAAGGCATTTAAATCCCGGTCGAGCTGTCTAAGATGGATAGGAATCCCGGGATATCGCTCTTCTTCATTATGTTTGTCCAAGGTAGGCCGAAAAACGACTGCACGAATGTCGTCGTTGTCGCGCTCGATTCGGATATGTGCAGAGGTCTTCGTTTGATGTTTCGAATGAAGTTTCCAAGTTTTCACACCGATATCAACAACAAGACAAACATTTTCTTCCTTCGTCGAGTTGTCATGTTGCCGTGCTGTCCATAGCACCAGCTTCCACATACTGATCGACTTGGTTGGGCGACCACTCAACCCAGGTATCGATGTGGTGGAACCGCCGTTTCCTTGCGTCGATGTTGAGTGGGGATATAGCTTCTCGTATTCGATGTCATCCAGCGCCTTCCATATCTGTAGTCTGCCGGAGTTGAAATGATGGCTTTTCCCAAAGACTCCTCTCTCCTTAATGATGCATTTGGAAATGGCCAAACCGATTCCAAGATTATCTTCGGGAGATTTTCTTGGTAAGATTTGGTGAGATGTCGTGACGGCTATGAAGTCCAAAAGCTCCCCCACGCGATGAAAACAAATGACCTGATTTTTGTGAAATGAAGAAAAGCGACAACATAACTTGGAACTTTGCCTCTCCTCAAAACATATCTGAGGAATCAAAAGAATTTCGCAAGAAAGGCCTTTTTCCCATTGCGGAGGTCCTTTGCCAAAATCAAGCTTCATGGCGATCTTTTCTTTTTCCCAGTTTCTTCGAACAAGTTCCATCTGACGGTGCGAATCCCGGTAAATGGAGACGCCCACCTTGGACATCCTGTGCAAGCCCAAACTGCTCGCGGAAACATCCCAGCTTTCGGAATCACATAGGATTTGTTCCTGTCCTTGACTTTTACATTCGTCTTGTGTTTTCTTCAAAATTTCAACGGACTCATGTAAGTTGAGTCGATCTTCGTCTTCCAAGCTCAGCATCTTAGCTATACCCTCTTGAATCATTTGACATGTGCGAGGCCCGTTGGAGTGACGAAGTTTCTTCAAGTGATTGGACACAGCAGGACGCAGTTCGGGCCTGTCGCCGTTATATGTCCAAAATGCGTCATCTTGTTGGTTCTTTCTTTGGGCTTTGAATAAATCAAGACCGTCTGTTCCAAAATTGAGGAAAATGAGCATCTGAGTGAGAACGCATGCCGTTGACCAAACATCATAATGTCCCATCCGTGGGTGATGGTCTTTATCCCTAGGTCTAAGTGACGGGGGTGCGAAGGCGGTGGTAGATCGTTTAACCGACCCATCATGATCCGAATGGTACTCTGCGGCCCGCCCAAAATCTGTTAGCCGGAGGGAGAACCCGCTTAGTTTTTTCTCGACGAGAATGTTAGCTGGTTTGATGTCCAAATGACCCAGACATTTAATCTGCTGTGCTTTGATAGCGTCATGCATATCTTTGATGGCCTCGACGACTTGAATAAGTGCTCTCCACATTGGGTTGTCCACGAGCTCTAGTGAGCTTGAACGCGACCGTGGATGTCCTTCAGCTTCCCACAAACATTTCCCCGAGAATACATCTTCCAGGTCGGCGGTGTATTTCGGATAAATCAATTCAATGAACTCGCTGTCCGAGGACTTGTGTGTGAAGGCTCGTAGAAGGCGCGCAACATTTTCCGGCTGTCTAGACGACATAATATGCGCAATCTGAGCTTCGCGCTTAGCACGTGCAACACCCTTTCCCCTCTCTGTGATACTATAAGCATAAACCTTCCGAAACAGGTTCATCGTTGATAGGGTTTGCTCGTTCTGGCAAACGTTAACACGAAATGAGCTTCCAGAACGTTTCTTCGAGAAAAGAAATGAACCCGATTTACATACCTTTGGCTCGGAGTCAATGCGTAAACAGAATTTCGGGTGAATTCGAGAATGGAATAGATGTGTGTTGTTTCCCTTGTCCCCCGTGGATACCTCATGGATGAAAGGCATGTTTTTGTCACTCATGTCTTCCAATTCCACACCCAATTCCCATTCTATTCCGAGAATTGGAACATCCACAATGGATTGTTTCAAATCAAAGGCGTCCGAGAAGATGGCCCAGCGACAAGAACTGCAGACTTGCCGGACATCTCCAACCTCCCTTCTCTGTTTCGTTGACATTCGGAACACGTAATGTCCACATTTGTCAGGTACCGGTCCGAATTTCAGAAAGAGACGGTTATGAATATCCTCTTCAGACCTGTTTCTGTGCACGAAGCGGTAGAGATCGCTGTGGCGCATCACCGCTTCATCCCAAAATAGGAACAAGCAGCCGCAAAACACAAGCGTTGCCAAGTTGAGAAGCCTTTTGTTGCCAGGTTCTTCGAATAGCATGTCAATCTTCCGTTGCTCATTTTCTTTGCGTCCCGTACCGGCGATACAGAGCCGACACGGGCATTTGAGCAGCTCGGAATTCTGGAATATGGCCTTCTTGAGGTCGTCGTACAAAGGCAATGTTGCGCGTCTTTCCTTAGACTCAGTCGCCTGAGGATTCCTCGGCTCGGCGAGAGAACCACCGGGCCGCTTGGTGGCGTCGAGAATGACTTTTAGCAGATCTTTGTTGTGGCATTTGACCGCATTGGCATGGTTCCGGAGCAGTTCGGCGGCTTGCTGTCTATAATAGTCGTCAATTTCGAAGATGTTTTCAGACATGGGATTTTGGTTTCTCTGTAGCCGATAGGTGATCTGATATTGGCTCTAGGCTTTTCACAGATAGAAAGTTACATGATAAGGAGGTTGGTCGTAGAGAGAAAATCGGAGAGAAAGCTCGCTGAAATGGAGTCGTGAGTCTGAAGGGAAGTGATTGGGGCGCAGAAACCACGTGCAGCCTGATTTTTGCTTGATGGTGGGTAGCACAGCATATCGGGGACCCGGCCTCGTCCAAATTCACATCAAAGCTGATGCGCTTCCTGATTAATCTGGCGATATGTCCGGCTGACATTCGGACTCGACATCCCTGTTGCAAATTGTTGTGGAGGCGCAGAGGAAGCAAGGGAGGAAAACACCCTCTTTGCAATGTAACGCGATATCGATGTTGATTGTGATTGGACAGGTAATCCTAACCGCCGTGGCTTACTGCAAGCCCTCCTCAGGCAACTGTTTGCCTTGTGGCAAACATGCAATGCAGGCTGCCAACCTTGCCACGCGTGTGCTAGCCAAGCAATTGTCTCAACATCAGGGTACCTAGTTACGTGCTCGAATTGCTGCAAGGGAGCAGGCTGAGCTGAATGGAGGAATAACAAAAGTTCGATTTAAAAGAGCTTGAGTTCCTAAGCTGGGATACTCAGTACCTAGCAGGCTGCCGAATTCACTCCAAAAGCTAAAACCCACGATGTCCAAAGAAATGAATTATCCGGGTCCTACGAGGAACAGGGGCCCTATCTTACTTGATGATCTTTCCCCAAGAAACCTCAGGTCTATGAATAGACCTTCAGGTTCAGACATTGATTCCATAGATCATGTCGGCCGCTCAAGGCACATTCCTGGAGAAGGATCCGACTCCACCAAAGTCCAAGATCCAAGATTGCAACCCATGCGTAATCTCACGAAGATGGATGTTGCGGCTCTCATCATCAACAAAATGATTGGCACTGGAATTTTCACTGGACCCTATACCGTCCTTGCCAATACTCAACGAAAGGATGTGGCCATTGGTCTGTGGATTTTGGGCTACTTCTACACAGTTTTTAGGTGCGATCACCTCATGAACGTTCAGTTCCCTCTGTCGCTGATATGTGTGCTTGCAGCATGATTATGTATCTTTAATACGCACGGAAATTGCCTTTCACAGGTGGCG